CCCCCCCCCCCCCCCCCCCGCTATTGCCACACGCGATGATGCGTTGTTTTCTGCCGTTGTTTTTGGCCGTCCACAGCATAGCAGTCCTTCTCCTCCTGGGGGCGTCCTTCTTGGTGCTGGGGTGTCTGCTGCAGCAGCGTATTTGCCGGGTCTTGGTGACCGGCAGCTGTACCGCACGGCTCACCGCTAGGATCGTTCGCCTCAACGTCGTGAGTACAGTGCGCACACTCCTTTTGCTTTTTGGTGAAGCTCATGCTCGCATTTCTCTATGAAGGGTTACGCTTGCCTGTCCGGTGGTGGTTGTGGTCGTTTCGGCCCAGACGCGGAGGGTCAGAATGAGGTGTGCTGCGGGTTTTTTTTTCGAGCATATATGTTGGTCAGCGGAGGAGTTCGCGCGCGTGCGTGCAGCTGTTGCTGCCGCGTTGGGAGGGGCCAGTCGCGGCACGAGGTCGGTTGTGGCAAGTGCGCGTTGGCTTTCCTACATCGCTGCCGTTATTGTTTGTCTCACGCCAACGATGTCAGACCCTTTTGCGGAGTACACCTACAGGGCAAGTTATTGTCCTACTTCCTCTGTCACATAAGTAAAGTCCGTTATGATTACACGGCCATTTAGCCGTGTCCGATGTCTTAGGCGATACTTTTTTTTAAACCTTGAGCGCTTTTCGGGTTGAACCCCATATTTCTTTTTTTTTCTTGCGCACTACCCTGCATGCACTAGCGGCTTACAAAAAAGTAGTCAGGCCAAAAAAGGCCGTTTTTTGCCCCTTTCCATGAGGGTGGGGGTGGGGGCACGAAACGAAACATACCAAAAAAAGACAAGAATTATCTCCACCGCCATGGCGTGCCGACGACCCAACGATACTTCCACACCCCGCTTACGACGTGGGCGTGTCTGGGCGTCGTCCCCCATGATAGCTACGTCGTTGTGGTGGTAGTGGGTGCTCACACAGCACAAAGCTGCAAATATTCTTTAAAATATTCTCAAAATGTTTTCAAAATATTCCCAAAATATTCGCAAATAGTCCCGTATTTGACACACTAATTCTCAGTAATTGTGAGTCGGATTTTTTTTTGTTTGTTTTAAGTTATGTGCGTAACAAGCGCTTTCCAACAAACCTAGCTAGAGCTTCAGGAACATCTTGGCTGGTGAGGTATGTAAATTCCCCCATAACGGACTTTACTTATGTGACAGAGGAAGTATACCCTACAAGAACGATCCACACGAAAGCATGGGTTTCCGTTGCAGCAGCACGCATGCGATGACACGCAAACATGTTTTCTTGAGTGTTTTGGTTGACATACTGACGTGACCGAGCGCCCCGCTCCTTTGATTGCGGGTGAGTGGGGTGAAAAGACGTGCGTGGGCGTGTTTCATCTGCCACTCGTATCGGTGGTTTGGTCGTGCGCATGGCGCTACTGGATTCGAGCCCGCGCGCCACGGTGAAACAATGGTTTGACATTATTTCTGCGGCAGGTTATGCTGGCGTGCTTCACCTGCTTCACCATGAGGGCGCTGATGCTGGCTGGATTGATCCAGGCGCAGGCGGAAGGAGAGGAGAACGGAAATTACGCCAGCGGATGGAAAAGGTGTTTGATTGTTGTCTCCTTGTTGTTGTTTGCTGCTGCTGCGATGACTTGTGCTTTTGCGAGCCGCGGCCCCGATTTCCCATCATCACCGACACAGTCGTCAGCGCTGCAGCTGGAGGGCCAACGCTGTGCTGTGCGCGCCATTTTCCTACCCGCCTTCCCTTGATAGTCTGACACCTTTGAGTTGAGCTGTCCCGAAAGGGGAGCACCCCTCGCCGCCAGCGATCTTCCTCCGCAGCGCTTAGTCCGGACTGGTTTGGGTTAGAGAGATTGCTGTCCACCGCACGGCTGCCCTGACTTGCGTGCCTGTGCTCGTCTTTCCACGCACCCGTGTGTGTGTTTCTTGGCTTCTTCTCGGGCCCGTCGGGCCTGTCGAAGTGGGTGTATCGAAACCCGCCCTTAATTAAGGTTGCGGAAGTCATGCGCAATCACACTGGCTGTTTTGCTTCTCAATCCGACGAGGACTCTCCGCTAAGCCAGAAACCCTCTCGATTATATAGACATTTCTCACACCGTAGATGTTTTGTACGTTGTTTCGTCGTCCTCCTACCGAGAAGAAAAGTCTGATACGAGGGGTAGGCCGTACATTCCTCATGCGCTGCGGTGTGATTATCTGTGTGTGTGCATGCCGACCTTTCATTGGTCGTACGTGTGTGCACGCTTTTTTGCTTACGGTACTTGTTCAAGAAGGATGTACAACTTGCTGTATCCTTGGGTGAATTGCCTCGCTGACACATGTACTTAGCCTTTTGCCCTCGGCTCGTAGGCGCGAGCAGGACATGATGTTGGAGTGGGCGCTGCACGTGATCCCGTGCGTGGCCATGCTGTACCTCATGCGGAAAGCCGGGGAGCCGAGCTCGTCCTCATCGTCAACCGCGACAACGGCCGGCAAGGACTACGGCGGCAACGAGAGGACGGGGTTCACCGGTGCGGATGTGGAGGATGGATACGGCGAGCAGGTGCCTAGTTCGAACAGATAACGCACCGGCGGCGGCGGCGGCGGTTATACCGGCTGACTGGTGGAAGATTCCTGCACTCTCGGGACGACTGCTGTTTGTGCATAGATAGTTGATTTTTGATCTGTAGAGCTTTGTTGTTTGTCGGCTTGTGCTAGGGTAGTCTCACGTTTTACGTCGGTTTTTTTCTCGCAATTTTTCTTTGTGTTATTACGGCTGTACTACCTAAGGCTCTCCAAAAAGTGATTTTCGTTTTTTTCTCGGAGGATCTCAGAGTTCTTTGGGGTGGACTAGGCTATAGACTGCTGCGGTTTCTTTTTTTATTTTCTAATTGTACAATCAGCAGATACGAGTCCAGGAAGATATAGTAGCTGTCGCTAAAACGAGCGACAGCTGATAGATGTAACTGTCGTCAGACGTGTGCGTCCGCGGGAGGTGGAAGAGACCCTTTCTTCTTCTTTTTCTCTTTGCAATTCACGTCATTGGTTACCCGCGACGGCGCTGAAGACGCCCATGTCCGTGTACTTGACCCTCGTACTCTGTGCTAACTCCCCAAGTCTAACCTCTTCCTGCAGCCTAGCCTTCATCGTCGGCGAATTTCCAAGGTTACCAATCCTGTCGAAACTCATGGGCTCTACCATGAGGTCCACAAGTCTCTTCGCCCTACTGAGACAGACGAAAGTAAGCCCCGTGCAGGCCTCCTTGGGCCCCAAGTCAATGACGGCCTTGGCTAAAGTCTGCCCCTGGGACTTGTGCATCGTAATTGCCCAGCAGAGCCTAAGGGGCAGCTGCGTCCTGACCTGCGTCCCCCCGTCCTGCCAGGTGGTGTCGACGGGAGAAATAGGGACACAACGTCTATACCTCTCCTGAGACGACCATTCCCCCCCCGAGTACCCTTCAAACTTGACGACAACGTAAAGGGGGAGCTTCGGCGGGGGCGCATCATCTGCGCACACCAACTCG